CAAATCAGTGAGGAGATCCCAAAGCAGTGCCTAACAGAGAGGTGGGCAGACCAAAAATATGTGAGCAACCAAACTAACAGAGCAAGCACCTACATAAATTCCCCCCCAAAGGGACCAAATAAAATAAGGATCCAAAGATCCGAACACACGACCCTTGTTGGAGGCAAGAAGGGTATACACAGACGACCAGGAAGCTGCCAGGCAGATCCAAGGCACGCGCACCGGACATTGGAGCGCCCAGAGAAAAGAATGCTCTGATGAGGTGTGCTGCAAAGGGAAAGAGATGGAGCTGACCTCTACAGAGAGATGCCTGACCAACTGTCTGCGGGGCTCATGGGACATAGTTGCAGTGAAAGCCGCCAGGCCACACCCCAGACCATCCATGAGCACAAAAGGAGAATCCGACCCCCAGAAAGAGACAGTAGCAGGCAAATACACATGAATCGTCCAGACCACATAAAGAAGTGAAGTTAAGGAAGGACAATATCCACAGGAAGACAGAAACTCTGACACCACCTTCAAGAGAAAGAAGGTCATGGACAGAGCCATACCTAATGCCTGTGCAAATCCAAATAAGGAGATGTACAGAACAAGGTTGCCAGAACCAACACCCGTTGAGCAGAAACAATGGAAACCAAGACTGCAACTATGTGAGAAGGCACAATTGGAGAATATCCCTACCCCCAAAGGAGGCTTCCAAGGCCTCGAAAGAGCCAAGTGAAGGTTCCACGGAGGCAACTGGGAAGACACAGAGGCCACCACCTGGTGAACCCCTTGAACAAAGGTACAAATCATGGAGTGCCTGGCCAAGTGACGTTGAGAAAAATCACCAGGCCAGAAACCAGGCCTTTACTGGCACCAAAAGTAAGCTCTCAATCAACACCACTGTAAAGGAGGTCAGAAGTATTGGATTTTTCTTTTTTGTTTATTTTATCAAATTGACAATCATTAATCCAGATGTAGCGTGTAAAGAAGTCAACTTATGTGTCCTACCCACAACTCCGTCACAACCACATTGAAGAAACCACAGAAGGAAAAATGAAGTCACTGGGAAGAAGTGGACTGGGCACCCAGAGAAACTGCCCACAGGGCCCCACCCCATACAGTTCTGCCCATCAGTGAAGGGCACCAGGACTTAGCATAGCCGTCTCTGGCTCAATGGCAGAGTGGAAGTGACCAAAGGAGGAGGTCAAGCTCCCACAGCCAAAATGGCAGGCGCAACCTCCTGCCACATTAGTCTTCAAAGCCTGGCCTAAATTTTGCATGTAGCCTGACCGCGTGGTTCGGACACCCAACATACTATACACAGGCCAGGAGGTGGTCCAGAACACACCCCCTACCACAGCAACAAGTTGTCAGAATATCAATCTCCCAAGTTGCTACTACATGTCCCCGAGTCTCTGTACCACATACCGACCAGAGGTGCTCAAGAGAAGTGCCCAGGTAGAGCACCCCTGATGCCCAGTGCCCACAGAAGGAGGGGTAGGAACAGGAGCCCAAGCCTGTAGGGGAGGAAGAGAACCCCACAGGGCCAACCACCCTATGGAGCACTCACACCCCACACTGTGTCCGGGCAGGAAAGGGATGGGGCATCTGCTTACTAAATCAATGGAGCTTGAAGGTGATGCTCATGAGACAGAAGCTCCTCTCCACCGAAGTGTGGCCTGACGGCCAGGGTAACATTGTGGCATGAACTCTGGAGCCTGGTCATATGGGTTCCCACAAGACATTTAACTCTCTGGCTACCCCAGTCCAGGATTGGGCTTTGACGTGGCTGACCCAGCGTTGACCTAAAGGTCTGTGCTCGCTCGATGACCAGATTGGCGTAACCAATGGATCTACATTATCCAGCCCATTGTTCAGCCAGGATATTGATTGAAGATCCCTGCAGGAAAAAATCCTAGAAAAAAGGAAAACACAAAGCTATGGAACCACAGATCACAGCTGGGAACCAGTTCCTTATTCCTGAACACTATGCAGAAAAAAACTAGCTTTCCTATAGCAGAGAGGGTTTTTTTTACCAGCTATGACTGCCCATAGACGGTACTGTGTTATTTTTCTGCCTAGTGTTCTAGTGTAGGTGGCGCTATAACCTATGGTCATGAATAGAAAAGCTGTGTCGGTCAATGAAAGTAAGAGAAAAAGGATTTATATGAATAAATAAATGCTGATCATTGTAAGCACCCCTGTCAGCGGTAAATGGTTTGTTCCAGCCATCTAACAAAACAGCTTGGTCTGTTAAAAGAAGCTGAAAAACCAGACTTTATTAGGTGGACCACCAGGTAATAAACTATGTTACAGCACACTCAGAAAAGTAAAAACTGCTGTGTTAATGCTACTGACAGACTGTATCATATCCAGAATGTAATTTTTTATTTCGCCCATAGCGTCACTTGCCTTGGCCCCTGACATGGAAAAATGTGTCATTTGTATGCAAGTCATATATTTATTTTCGTTTTTCACTGGAGTAAATCTTTTTAATGCTATTTTTACAGGGTAAATGAATTGATATTAGTATTCTTTCTGTATTATTTTCTTGGTGAAGTATATAGCTCCTGTTGCTTTGCATATTTAGAGCTTGGCATCTCAACATATTAATTCAAGATATTCTCTTGAATAATTGAATGCACCCTCAAGGCAGGTAAGTGCCCTTTATTGAAAGACATATATCAAGAACTGTTTGACAGTACTATGGCCTCTTTTGCATTTTATCATTACGTGCTATATAAAATGAGTAGTGCATTTTACACAATATTTAACACTTTCATTCCTTATTATCAATTATAAACAAAAATTGTATTACACCTAAAAATAAAAATGTATTATATTGCGGCTTACCAATCCTCAAACGTGGTGACTTGGTGATCTGGCCAGTAACACACTTCCTGTTTTAGGATGTCTCTGCTCTTGATGGAGGAACACTGGGGATACCTTCGGACAGCAGCGCTATCAGTCTGGGGAGAACATGGTGTTAGATGGACTAGCAGAATTAGATGACCTTGACTAACAAATTAACCTGGCGGTATTCCCGAGTGTAGCTCGGGGTAAAGTTTCAGTACCACAAGCAGTAACCCCGAGCTACACTCGGGAATACCATGCAGCTCTGCTCCGCGATCCCTCGGTCACTTACCTTGTCCTGCGCTCCCACAATGTCCCTCCTGCAGTGTCCCCGGCAATGTAATCCAGCGGATGCCGGCATCTGTCATCTGGGTTCTGTCCTCTGCGAGCGTCGGGACGTACGGGGGACGGAACGGCGGAAATTTGGAAAATGACAAAAAGTGACATTCACAAAAATCACTAAAATTACATAGTAAAACATTACTGTACCAAACCATTTCACATACATTTTGTCCCTAGTGCTTTGTCCTGTGCCCTGCCTGCATTTTTACTGTTCTTTCTACCTGGAAACTGAGAAATGTCCATGGCGTCCAAAAAGCGTCCCTTTAGGTCAAAAGAGAACAGTGATAGTAAATCAGAACCACTTGCAGAATTGAGTGATAATGATTCGTGGGGAAATTCGTCATCAGACACTGAAAACGATTTTGCGACTTTGCTTAGTGATGTGCGAACTTGGAGCTCTATTTCAAATATCAGTGTTTTTGGTTTGATTATATTATTGAATTAAATGTATTATTATATTATTATTTTTTATGATTATTTATTAAATTTATAATTTATGATTTCGTGTTTTAAGTTTTATCATATTCGGAATGTTTACTAGACTCTTGTTCGGACAGATTTCAGTGAGTTATTGCTAAGAATCACAGGCCTACAATATGAAACGCCAAATTTCCATGCAAAATAATTTGAAATAATCATACCGCCAGGGAGGTTAAAGTTGGAATCCAGCTAACAATTTACAAGCATGTGGCTGGGCAGAGGAGTTGTGGTACCCGATGAGGAAGGAGCACTCACACAGAGAAAAAGTATACTGTATGCTTAGGCACTATGGATGTAACATTCGGTAATTTTTGATTATTTGTAGAATTATTTAATTTTCTGGTATTATGAAAGGTGTGATGCGTTTATGATACTGGATGGTAGGCTATCACTTTCCTCTTCAACCACGTAAAGAGGAGTTCCAGCTGTTTTTGTGTTTATTAAAAGTCAGCAGCTACAAAAACTGTAGCTGCTGACTTTTAATAAACACACAGTTACCTGTCCCAGAGTCCAGCGATGTTCTCACCTATGCCGTCCCTTCTCCCTAGCTCTCCTCCATGGAGCCGGCATCTCAACTGTGGGTTCCAGGCTGTGACAGCTTGCGGCTTCACAGCCTGGTGGCCACTGCGCATGCATGAGTCGCGCTGCGCCTCCTGATTGGTCCGGCAGTCTTCTGAGACCTGTGAAAGTTTCCAGGAGTCTGCGGGAGGGAAGAGGGGACCAAACTTCCGGCTCACTTCACTGCAGAGAACTGAGCTGGAAGTGGAAGTGGGTACCTGTCAAAACCAGTTACCCGCTTCCCCCTCCCCCCAAAAGGTGCCAAATATGGCAGTGGAGGGGGGGGGGGAGGAGGCAAATAAGCAGAGTTTCCACTTTTCTTTTGAGTGGAACTTTGCTTTAAGCTCCAGAAGATTTTACCCCCTTCATGACCAGGTACTTTTTTTTTTTTTTTTGCTATTCAGCACTGCGCTACTTTAAATGGTAATTGCACGGCCATGCAACACTGTGCCCAAATTAAATTTATATAATTTTTTCCTTTGGTGGTATCACCACTGGGTTCTTTATGTTTTATTATATAACGAAAAAGACCAAACATTTTTGGAAAAAACAGTATTTTTTACTTTCTGCTATAAAACACATTCATCAATAAAAAAAATCTAATTTCTTCTTAAATGTAGGCCAAAATTTTATTCTGCTACATGCCTTTGGTAAAAGAAATCCCATTAAGAGTATATTGATTGGTTTGTGTGAAAGTTATAGCATCTACAAAATATGGTAAACAGTATATACTGGAATTTGTATTTATTTTTTCTATACTAGTAATGACGGCGATGAGCAACTTATAGTGGGACTGTGATAGTGCAGCAGCCAATCTGACACCTAACTGACACTTTGTGGGAACTATCTGACACTGACATCTCCAGTGACACTAATACAGTGATCAGTGCTAATATTATACACTGTCACTGTACTAAGGATGCTGGCTGGGAAGGGATTAACATTTAGGGGCAATCAAGGGGTTACAGTAATTTGTGTGCCTAATAATGTGCAGTGTGTGTAATATGTGCTGCTTTATGCTACAGATCAATTTGGTTCTTTTCCTTGCTTTGCAGGGAAAAGAAACAAAGCGATCATAACCTCTGTATAGAGCCCTGTATTGTTTGTCAACACAGGGTTCTGGCTGTTGAGACAGCTGGTCCCGGCCATTAATCATCTGCTGATAAATTCCCACTGTGTCAAATCACAGGGGAGTGGGCTGGCGGAGGCATGCGCACCCGAAACTTGGAAATAGGCAGTGTCATATAAGTACGTTGCTGTGCCTCTAGGAGCCGCCCCTCCGCAGTATATGTACATGTTGGAAAGCGGTTAACACACCTTTTCAAACATAGAATGGGTACCCACATTGTTTTGTCTGTTATTTTCCAATATATATTACTTTTATGTTACAGGTAATGTTTTTGCTTGAGGATCTTTGAGGGTACACACAAATTCATCATGTTTTGCTTGTAGGAGGGTTATGTGACCACTTAGAGAGGTAAATGAGATGGGTATGGGTTGATATATTATGTGATGTTTTTTCCATGGGATAGCATGTCCTTCTTTTGTGTCCTCCCCACAGATTTCATCCTCAATTGGTGTATGTAGGTTATGTGAGAAATAAAATCAGATACTGTTTCCCCTATTTATACCCCCCCCTCTCTTTTTTTCTACTGCAAGATTCCTGTGGCATACTTTTGTCGTATATACGTTATTATTGTGTACATCTTTCTTCTGTATTGAAAAAAATATTTATGAAATCTTTATGTATTTTGTTTGTTCACTTTTTATGGAATATTTAATCTACTACAGACAGTAGGCATGGATCCTGAGGGATTCATCGTAAAATGAGCCTATTACCATCATATTTGTCACATATATGGATTTTGTATTTTTAATTATGTCTTTTCACTTTATGAGTGTTTTTAAAACATTATATATTAAAAGTACTATCTTTACTCTTTGTGATTCCTCATTAACACATATGAAAGTCCAGATTACCTTTTCTGCCCCTTTTTGTGGAAGGATATCAATATTGTCTTTACAGTAAGTGGTTATTGCTCAATTTACCATGGGGGTAAAAATAATAATTATTTATGATAAGCACATCATTGCTGACTATTGTGGTTAGGTATTAGAGACATTCAGCATGAGAATGGTAGAGAGAATGGGCTGCAATGAGATTGGGCTCAATTCACTAAAAGTTAAATACTGCATGAGTATTTGCATTAAAATAACTCATTTGATTTTTAACTCAGGAACATGAAAAAAATGCATGGCAAATACCGCATACCATGTGTTTTTGCACCTTATTTTAATGCAGACCATTCAGTTTAGGTCTGGTGCACCCTCCGACATCCTAACGATCATGACTCAACGCTGCTCATGTGTCACATGACTCAAATATTGCATGCAATATCCTTTATGGAATTGAACGCACTGGGTAGTAATTAGAACAGTGCAGGAAGAATCTCTCGTGTTTGGTGGTACAATTGAAATAATCACTTGACATACAAGGGAAGGAGATTGTGCAAAGACACAGCATTGCTGACAATCGTATGTTTATACTGTGGTTATGTCCTAGAGATACACCAATTATCACACACTGTAAGGTTGTATTTACTATAATGTCACTTATTTTGTTTGCTTCTGTCTGCCTCTGGATACTTGTGACTACATTCAGCATGAAAATGGTAGAGATAATGGGTTGCAATGACACAATTTCTGGTTGTCCCATTGGGGATAAGGTTAGAGATACGGTTGGGGGCCTTCACATACGTTATATAATAGAATAATTTTATTTTATTGTTGCTTACAGCAAAAAATGTTATCACAAGATGGCAATCTCTTCTTGACTTAAGTTATAAGACTTTAGAGAGTTGAAGTAGCGCAGGTGCTTACGAAAAAAATAAAAGCGTACTTTGAAATGCTGGAATTCTTAAGAAGGGTCATGGACCAGAGATCGTAAGCTTCACACTCTGAAATCCAGCACACCTTGATCTAAATTTGGATGCTCCGTCCTAGAACCAAATTTAGACCCATCTATGATCACCTTAACATATGAATATCCTATATCTACCATTCTTTTTTTATAATACCACATCAAACATCTCAGAAGGAGAAGAAGAACATAAAGAAGGAGCTGAGCTGGAAGCAATGGAAGGAGGTGGGCAATCCGTGGAAGGAACCCTGTAATGGGGATTCACAGACAACAGGAATCAAGTGCAAGTAAGAATACTAGACAACAAGAACCATTTTAAAATGTAAACACGGGTATCACTGGATTGATCAATATCAACCTTGTGTGACCATGTGAGCACTGTAGTCAACATGTGTATGGATAGAACATCGACATATGTGCTAAATATATTTATTGTTTTCTTCCACAGGTTTATTCTCATAGAACTAGCTCATCTAGAGCCTCTCAATGACCAAGAAGGGCTGAAAGTCACAAATTGGGACACAGCTACAGTATGGTGTCTTTCATAGACAAAATGAGAAGCTCCCACAGAGAGGAGAGAAGGGATCCTTCTAATGATCCCAATCATGCAAATGCTGTATTCCTTCAAAATATTTATTGTCTGTTAGATAAAACACCTAATGAGAGTCAGGTGGAGGTCCAAATGGCAATTTTCAACTATGCAGGTGCTTATGTAATGGCTGCCATGGCAGGAAATCCTTTAACAACTAGAGGCACACCTGATCCTCCTCAGAGGTCATATCAGCAAGCCCAATTTAAAGGACCACTGATACACACTATGCCCTATCATCAAACCTATCCACAGTAGCACCATTTTCAACCATACTGCTCTGTACAGTGGTCGCCTGCTTAGACTCCTCACCAATTCACTCCACCCAGGGTAGTTTTCATAGTTCCTACAACCCCCCCCCCCCCCCACACACACACACACACACACACACACACACTTTTATGATTCCTCTCAATCACATAGGCTAGGAACCTATGGGAGTTCCTCCTGACATCCCTCCCAGTTCTCACCCTCTCCTTCCCCTGTTTACCCGTTTATCATGATTTGTGAAAAAAAATTGACAAAACTTTATTTTTGCCTTAACAAATAAAGAAAAATTTCATGTACATGCAATAATAAATGTGATTATTCTTGTGAGCTACTATGGTGTGTGCTATGGTTGAGACATTATAAAGTGAATAAGTGTATAAAGAGACTATCAGGTTGTTGGAATAACACATGTGTTGGGTATTAGTTGCAGTAAAATAAATCAATTAAGCTTGTGTGCAAAATAGGAAATAAATATATAATTAAATGAGTGAGTGGGTCGCCTACACTAAACACATACTCATATCAGTGTGCCAGAACAAATCAAAAACCAATGGTGTCGTGCTCCACTATCAATAATACACACACATATTAAATAAATTAGGAAAAAATTAAAACAAGTGAATAAGTCCAATATTATTTCCACAGCGTGATATTACAATCACGCTGGTGCTGCATGCAGATTTTTTTATCTGTGATATTGAAGTGTCTTCTTAATAGTGTAATACAAAGTATATATAGTCCACCAATCTTAAATAATGTGCTCCTTCACCAGTTGTGCTCTCACATGACGTATATGACCAAACCGTTAAGTGAGGTCATACAAGCTTGTGTACCTTTAATTGGACTCAGTGGTAAACAGATGGATAAATCCCTGTTTCCCAGATGGATGGATGGAGTTTTTCCATTTCCTAGCAGGGGGTCTCGCAGCTTCCTAGGGATCTTATTCCTGGAGGCGGATGGATGGACGGCGTTATCCCTCTTCCCACTAGGGGGTCTCTTCACTTCCTTCAAACGTTTTCCTCTCCATGTATATATACCATGAAGTTAAAAAGAGAATATAGCGCCTTATCTTCTTTTTAAATAATTTATTAAACAAATGTAGTGCACTCACATAACAGAAAAGTAAAAATCACTTTTTGTGCAAATTTGCAGGATCCTTACTGTAATGTGTTTGCTACACTCCCATACACAGTACTTGCTGTGTAGTTGCCTTTAAGTGTCGTGACGTCAGAGCCCCTCCCCAGTTATAAACTGATGGGAAAACAGATGTAAATGGATGATGGAAAACGGATGTGCAAAACTGAAATTAACGGATGAAAAACAGATGGAAAGTTGATGGAAAATGGATGTTAACGGATGAAAAACAGGTGTAAGCAGAATGGAACTAAGGGCAAATTCACACTATTAGGAGAGCTGCCACAATGTTTATTGCTTTGACAGCTCTCTGGCTGCACTAGCGGACAGTGTGGTGCACAATTCAGCGCATTGCACTGCTCCCTTTTTTTTGTTGTGTCAGAGCTTTATTTGAAGTGTACAAAACGTACACTTTATTCACTGCAATGTCTGGCAGCGCGCAAGACATTGCAGTGCGATTCAGGCGTTGCTAAAAAATGCAGCATGTTTGAATGGGACACATACAAAACAATTGTTTCCTGTATGTCTCTGCGGTGCCATATGTTTTAGCATGCGGTAAAACATATGTCAACGCACATAGTGTGAATTGGCCCTAAAGGAAACAGCAATGCAAACGGATGTAGACTGCCGTAAACTGAACTGAAGGATGCATAAACAGATAGAAACTGATCTCAAGTGAATGCTTTTTCCCACAAAAAAAGTGACTGAACTGATGATGCCTGTGTGAAAGGGGCCTAACAGAAACTCACAAGATCATTTGCTATGTTATGTCATAGGGCTCATTTACACTTGCTTCAAAATGTAATATTGGACACACTCTTTTAATAACCACAAGCCTACAGGGCACTTCTACTCCCTTCCTGCCCAGGCCAATTTTCAGCGTGTTGCACGTTGAATGACATGCAAAACTGTACTCAATTTTATCATTTTTTTCACACAAATAGAGCTTTCTTTTGGTGGTATTTAATTGCCGCTGGGTGTTTTATTTTTGGCGCTATAAACAAAAACAGAGCAAAAAATGTAAAAAAAAAATTTTTCTTTGTTTCTATTATAAAATTTTGCAAACAGGTAATTTTTCTCCTTCAC